GACTTCAAAGGCAGTGCAACAAAAATATATCTCTTGCAGTGCCTTTAATTATTTAAATATTTTATTATAAATTTTCAGATAACCATTTTACATATACAAAGCTAATAAAACAGACAAAATAGGATACCCATATTTGTCTGCCATTATATCAGAATTTTAACATTGCTCTTGGTATCCATTTTCCCCTCTCCCTTTCCCCTCCCGCCCCACCTACCCCATACCTCATACCTCCCCTCCCACCCAACCCCTCCTACACTGCCTTGATTCTGCTCTTTCCTACTCGTTCTATTGATCCTAGTCAGAGAATAATACTATTTTAGTTTAACATTACAGTTATCCTCCATGACTTCCTTTCTCTATTACATATGATCTAGGTATGAGTTTGACTTTTTGAATTTCTCCCACTTCTTCCATCTTATACGGAAAATCTCCATTCTATCTTCATCCATATGGTAAAGTTCCTGCAATCTGTAAATCCTCTCCACTCTATCTATCCAATCCTTTACTCTCGGTGCCTGTTGTTCCCTCCAAAATTTAGGTATCAGGCCCTTCGCTGCATTCAAGTAGTACACTCATTTTTTTTTTCATATTTTTATCTGCTGCCCCGAACTACATAACTGACCTGATACCCAGATACTACCCTACTTATGCCCTCCGCTCCTCACAGGACCTCCTACTCTCTAGCTCCCTGGTCTCCTCCTCCCACGCCCGATTGCAGGACTTCTCCAGGACTTCTCCCATCCTCTGGAACTCCCTACCCCAATCCATCAGACTGTCACCTACCCTCCTCACCTTCAGGCGCACCCTGAAAACCCTTCTCTTCAGGGAAGCCTACCCCAACCTCACCTAACACCCGACCTCACCTAACAACTAACCTCCTCCACTCCACCCACCACACCACTCCATCCCCCACAGCCATCTCCTCCTGTGCCACCTTCCCCTCCTAGATTGTAAGCTCGAAAGAGCAGGGCCCTCGAACCCCTCGTTTAGTGTATTGTTACTGTCTTGTCTCATGTTATGTCCCCCTTGCTACTGTACAGCGCTGAGCATACCCTTTGGCGCTATATAAATACTGTATAATAATAATATTTTTTAATAGCAGTGCCGTTAAAGTCCGCAATTTGGCCCTTTTTATTTTCTTTGGTTCAATTTATTACTCATCATGGGACATGGCACATAGGAGCCTGTTATATGCCCTTACAGTCTGTCACTCTGTGTTGGGTATGTTTCTCTAACAACTTTTTTGTGTTGTTGTTATCCAACTTGCACAGAACGAATGTACATGTTTACTGGGTGAACTGCTATGGAGATTTTTTTTATAAATACACTCCTAAACAAGGTGAAATCTGTCTTTCCTGGCCACAATGTCCGAAACACAGGGAGTACGCCAGCAAATGCATTCTGGCAATCCTTGATGGGACAATAGTCAGAGTTATCCTCAATAGTGTTTTATAGTACTTCAAATTTGCAGAGTACTTCACCAATGAAAAATTCATGAACATTCATTCTGTGCAATGGGTGCAATAAAACAAATAATATTAAGCTATTTTCTGTGCTGGATCAATGTTTCTCTTTGATTTAAATGGAAAATTCCACATTTGGCCACTAGATGGTGGTAACACAGGACGTTCCCTATGATACTTAATGCCATCTAGTGGGCAAATGCTGTATATACTATTTTAAATCAATGAAAAACATTTGTCCAGCACAGGAAATAGCTAAACATGGCTAGAAAGGAAGGAAATCAGGCGACATTACGCCTATTAACTCATGAAGGGGATGTTTCTTTCTCTAAAAATACATTACAGGTTGCTTTGTGAGTTGACAGTAGAGAGAGTGGCCTGCTACTATCCCTCAGTGGTGGTGTCTGATCATTACACCAACATTTCCAGAGTGTCTGCAGGGTGATCCATCTTTCTGCTCATAGAGGAGGCTGCACAGGCTTTACACTGGACACAGAGAGGAGTATATATTAATAGTCCTAACTGTGTCACCAACCAAAACAACAACAGAAAAGGGTTTCACTTCATTCAATATAGGGTGTGGAGTCCCCAGAGATTGTTTTGTACAGCTCCTCTTTGGCTAGCCCACCAAAGCCAGATACATTTTAACAGGAGCCTGTACCAAGACAAATATAGAGTTGGACATTACATTCCTTTTCCTGGTTGTCTCTGACTTTGGTACTTTTTGAGTAGACATGTGCAATTGGTTTTGTTATGAATCGAAATTCAAACAAAATTTTCATTATTCGGAGATTTGGAAGTATCCTGAATTTCCAAATCACAATAGTAACAAACGTAAAATTTAAACTAATCCAAAATAAATTATAACAAAACAAATTATCCGAATTTGAATTTGAAAATTAAAGCGGAGTTCCAGTCACCCTGTCAAAAAATAAAAGTCAGCAGCTACAAAAACTGTAGCTGCTGACTTTAAAAAAACAGCCACTTACCTGTCCTCGGTCCTGCGGTGTGTCCCCCACAGCCCGTTTCACCGGCCGTCCTGTGTTCCACGTACCGGCATCTTCAGTGTGGGCACCCGGCTGTAACAGCTGGCGGCTTCACAGCCGGGTACCTACTGCGCATGCGTGAGTAGCTCTGCGCTTCATGAATGGTCTTGTAGTCTTCTGGGACCTGTTACATGTCCCAAAAGAATACAGGGAGGGAGGGAGGACACCTTCGGCTTCTGGTCGCCTAGGCGGTCGGACCAGAAGAGGGAGCGGGTACCTGTCAAATTAGGGTACCTGCTCCTCCCCCGTCCCCCAAAGGTGCCAATCCGCTTTAATTTTAGTTTGAAAATGAATTCAATTTTGAAATGGAACAATAAATACAATAAGGCATAAAAGTGAAATATGATGTTGATTCCTATTTAGGAAGCTGAATAAAATAGAAAAATAAAATATAATATGACAGAATAGAATAGAAAATAACAGACTAGATAGACTAGGGTATTAAAATGAAATAAGATGATGATTCCTACTTAGGCTGCTGAGTAGAACAGAATAAAAAACAGAATAGAATATAAAAGGATATAACAGAATAGAATAAAGCAGAATAGAATAGAATAGGATATGAAAGAATATGATATCATAGAATAAAATAAAATAGAATAGAGTAGAATAGAAAAGAATAGAAAAAAATTAATAGATTAAAAGAGAATAAAATAAAACAAATATAGCCATCTTCCAAAATTTGAATGTTGAATTTGAAATTCAATTTTTGAAATTCAAATTTGAATTTTGGAAGACAGCTATATTCCTTCTATTTTACTCTATTCTATTCTATTCTAATCTATTCTATCTTTCAATTCTATTCTTTTGTTTTTTCTTATATTCTGTTTCTATTCTCTTTTATTTGTTTCTATTTTATTCTGCTCTTTTATTTTCTATTATATTCCATTCTATTCTATTCTGTTCCTTTCTATTCTATTTTGTTTTATTATGTTCTATTCTGTTTTAGCCTATTCTATTCTTTTCTATAAAGCAGTCTAAGCAGGGATCACCATCGTATTTCACTTTTATACCTTACTGTATTTATTGCACTATGTTTCCGTTTCAAATTCATTTCGAATTGTTTTGAAAATAACAAATATACAAAACAGATATGAATAAACAATAGTAACTCTGAAAACTAATTATTCTAACATAACAAACATGACAAAACAAAATTATTAATTTAACAATCTAATCCAAAAGCTATGCCAGCAACATGACAATTAAACAGCTAGCATTTCCAAAAAGAGGGTTTAGCAATGACACCCTTGATATTCTCTAAGTAAAGGTTCCTTTAAATTAAATTGGAGCATAATGTAGTTTTATAGAAAAGAATTTTTGGAGTATAGGCTATACTGAAGTAATCATTAAAGTCCAGAGTTTTAGAAGCTTTATGTCAGAAAATCACTTGGCTTCCAAGCTTCAATAAATCCTAAAATCGCCACCACTTGGGTATTCATGAATACGATCTAACAATTTTAAAAAAGGCCTTTTGTTGTACCATCTTGTTTTAAGAGAAATGTCTCCCCTATCAGGGTCTGCAGGTTGCCCATCACTATGTCATACTGATGTTCATAAATGTGTCTATGTAATGTTAGAAAGATATTTCCTGTATAAAAGGCTTTTCATAAATTTCAACTTGAAAAATATATAGCCCACTCATCCGAACAATCTGCTTCATGTCAGACATCCACTTTTCCACTTGTTGGCATCTATATTTCATTTTTAACCTTTGCAGATAACAAAGGATTGTTTAAAACTTTGCCAGCTTGCAGTATAAAGGATTTATAATATATCTGACATAGGGGCTGATTTATTAACCACTAGCCTACAGGCCACTTATTCCCCCTTCCTGCCCAGGCCAATTTCCAGCTTTCAGCGCTGTCACACTTTGAATGACAATTGCGCAGTCATGCAACATTGTACCCATATGAAATTTTTATCATTTTTTTTTAGACAGATAGAGCTTTCTTTTGGTGGTATTTAATCACCTCTGGGATTTTTATTTTTTTTCTTAAACAAACCAAAAACCACTGAAAAAATAGAAAAAAAAGTTTTTTCTTAGTTTTTGTTATACAATTTTGTAAATAAGTGATTTTTCTCCTTCACTGATGTGCACTAATGAGGCTGTAGTGATGGCCACTGATAGGCTGCACTGATGGACACTAAATCACTGGGGCACTAAAAGCAGCACTGATACATGACACTGATATATGGCACTGATAGGCGGCACTGATAGGCAGCACTGACCGGCACTGTTAGGCGGCACTGACTGGCACTGATAGGCGGCACTGACTGGCACTGATAGGCGGCACTGACTGGCACTGATAGATGGCACTGACTGGCACTGATAGGCGGGATTGACTGGCACTGATAGGCGGCACTGACTGGCACTGATAGATGGCACTGACTGGCACTGATAGGCGGCACTGACTGGCACTGATAGACGGCACTGACTGGCACTGATAGATGGCACTGACTGGCACTGATAGGCGATACTAAACTGGCACTGATAGGTGGCACTGATTGGCAGCACTGATAGGTGACACTGATTGGCATTGATAGGTGGCACTGACTGGCACTGATGGGTGACATTGAAAGGCAGCTCAGGTGGGCACTGCTATGTGGCATTGATGTGCACTGGTATGCACTGATATGTGGCATTGATGTGGCACTGATGGGCACTGGCACGTGGCACTGATGAGCACTAACAGGTGGAAAGCCGATTATCGGCTCTCCTCTCAAGATGTCAGCGTGCCAGCTCGAGAGGAGAGAAATGCCGATAACTGGCATTTCCGTGTTTTACATGTGATCAGCTGTGATTGGACACAGCTGATCACATGACCGAGCCGACATCTTCATCTCTTTCCATGATCTGCTGTGTCCGAGGGACACAGCGAACCGGGGATCGCCGCGCTGGGCGCTCCCTGAGCCGCGTATGGGCAGTGAGAATGGTAGGACGTCATATGACAACCTATCAGAACGAGAGAACCACCTTGCGCCTGTCATTGTACTATAGGGCGGTTAAAGGCCAACAAACTATGCACTTTGCAAGTGCAGTTGCTCCAGAGCTTAGCAAATGAGAGTTCTGCTGACTCCATCATCCAATCACATGCAAGCAAAAATTCATTTTTTTAAACATTTTCCTTGCATCTGATTGGATATTCTGTGCAAAGCAGGGGCGGACTGACCGTTTGGAAACTCAGGCACTACCCGAGGGCCCGGAGTCAGTAGGGGGTCCCATGAGATGCCCCAGGTACCTTTTTTATAGGCTTTTTTGAGTTTGGGCAAGGGCACAGGGGCCCCATGATCCCCTATTGCCTGGGGGCCCCATGGGTGGTCAGTCCACCCCTGGTGCAAAGCAAAGGTTCCCCTCATTTACTAAGCTCCAGAGCAGGGGTCTCCAAACTTTGTAAACAAAGGGCCAGTTTACTGTCCTTCAGACCCTATGCGGGCTGAACTGTGGCAAGTGGGAGTAGAAAATGCTCCAATATCAGTGGAAGTAAACAGTGCCCCTTCATCTGTTTAGGTGGAAGGTATAGTGCCCCATTGTTGGTATCAGTGGGAGGAATAGTTCCACATTATTGGTGCCAGTTTGAGGAATAGTTCCCCATCACTGGTGTCAGTGGGAGGAATGGCACCCCATCATTGGTGTCAGTTTGAGGAATGGCAGCCCATCATTGGTGTCAGTTTGAGGAACGGAACTCCACCTTTAATGTCCCTTTAAGTTGTTAAAAAAATCCCAATAAGTGCATATTAACCATTTGCCCTCCAGAGGATTTCCTACCCCCTTCCTGATCAGTCCATTTTTTGCAATATGGCGGTGAGTTAGTTTAACTGACAATTGCGTGGTCATGCAACACTGCACCCAAATAAAATGTATGTCCTTTTTTCCCACAAATAGAGCTTTCTTTAGGTGGTATTTAATCGCCTGTGCATTTTTATTTTTTGCGCTATAAACAAAAAAAGACTGGCAATTTAAAAAAAAAAAAAAACTATATTTTTTGACGTTTTGCTATTAAACATGTAATACATGGTAAGAGTATGTAAAAAAACAAAATAATAATGTTTCAATTCAATTTCTAAAAATATTTACTTTTTTAAAAAAAAATATTAGGTATTTTTACATATTTTCATCAGAGTAGTTCAGTGTCACCATATTAACACTACACTATTCTTGGGGGGGGGGGGGGGGGGGGTGATCAGAGATTTTTTTTTTTCATTGCTGATACAATGAAAATCTTTTTCATGAATGAGTTTCATTCATGACAGCTATGATTACCAGTGATCTGTGAATGGCTACAGCTAATCACATGATACAGGGTGCTGTGATTGACCCAGGTACCATGTGATAGCTGTGGGCTAATCACAGCTCACTTGTATCAGAATCAGAGCTGTTATGAATAAAATTAATTCATAACATCTTCACTGATATTGTCATGCAATCACATGATTCTGGGGTTTCTCAAAGTGGCCCAGTCCTGGGAGCCACAATCTGCATCAAACTGATTCTGCAGCCACCCAGGTGAATATGAATGTTTGTTTTTTACCCCAAACTTCTCTTTTTTTACTATCTTTACTCTATCAAAAACTTAAAAGAAAATGTAGGCTTTGGATATACTTTAAAGACATTTGAGCTAGTACCAATATGCCAGCACTCTTAGGAAGACTGACCTGTGCACCTGGTATTTCCTCAGTAGGGGAACATCCAAATGTTTAATTCCTTTAAAACTAAAAGCTAAAAATCATTTTCAAAATAAAAACTACTTTCAGATGTAAACCTGGCAAAATGGATTGCAGGAGCTGACCGGGCAAATTGCCAAGCAGAGTAGATTTGAAGACGTTCGTGCATCTCTACTTTTTACCAGAAAGGACATTTGTGCATAGAACAACATGGTACGCAGAACAATTTTAACCTTTAAATCCTTTCATATTCTCTGGAAACCTCAGAGAAAACTCAAGGAGATAGAAACAAAAATTAAAGCTATATGTATCTGACTGCAGCTGGTACTTGTAAAAACTCAGAGGATCGGAAAATAGCCATTTTGTTACAAACCGTAGGTGAAAAAGGCTTGAAGCTGTTGAACACAATAAATACAATGAAAATCCCCAAGCAACCACCATCAGGTGAGCATAGCTGGAATTCAGGAAGCATTGGAAAAAGCAATGATTTTGAAAGATAACAGGGCAATCTCAGTATCAGAAACCACAGGTATAGACAAACTTAAAACAGAAGATTGATGGTAAATCTTTTTAAAATTGTGCTCAGCATATCAACCCTGCTTTGAAGGAAAAGGTGCAACTTGACTCTGACTTCTTATCAGGTGAAACCGTGTCAATTTACAGGATGAAATAGACCACCGAGGGCCTGTTCTCAACATAGCACTGCAGTAATAAAACTTATGTGCACTGTGGTGCCGTTCATTCTAAATAGCGCTCATACAACTCCAGTGCACTGCAACACACAATAACGTACTATCATATGCTGCAGTGAGCTACAATACAAAATTGTAGTAGGTACAATTTTAAAATGAATAGGCTGCCCCAACACAACAGCCGATAACACATGACATTATGCCCAGGTTCAGTACATTGCATGTGATTCGCACAGGAACCGCACCGCAATCCTGTGCAAATCACATGCAGTTTTGTGTGCGGTGCGATTGGAGCCATACATTATGTACGGCTCAAATCGCACTGCACCTGCACCAAAAAGGTGCAGGATCCTTTTTTGGGTCTGCACTAGAAATCGGATCACATGGGTATTCACACCTATGTGATTCTATTCTGCACATCACACCACGTTTTTAATGGGTTGTTGTTAACATACACACCTGCAGCGGTTCGCATGAACGGGGTGCGATTCTGATGCAGTGCGGAATGCAGAAAATGCTGCAAATTCCGGACAACATCAATGTGAACCCAGGCTAAATGCACTGCATTGGACGTGATTGGTATGAATGGGCCCTGAAGCACAAGTTGAAGTGAATGCTATGTTTCAGCGTAAACAAAGCACACAGTCTGCAAAGGGCAAACACTCTGCATACAGTATAAAAAGCAACAAAAATGCACAAATCAGTAAGGGCTATTTCACATTGACAGCAGTACTATCACGCCAAGATTGCTTTTCAGAGGGTGGTATAGCAGTGGCTGACAGACATTCAAGAGGTGATCCTGTCCCTTCCTAATTTTCTGCTTTTTCTTCTTTTTTTTTCAAGTGTCATTAAACCCACATCATAAAGACCTGTCAATAAATGCTGTATTACATGGTGTTCTAAAGGCTCCACGTACACTGCAGCTGATAAACTCACGTTTAAGGAGCTTTTCTGCGTTTTCTCAGCAGCCCCTGAACTCTCCCTAATGTTTTCCTATGTGTCCATGTACACTATGTCGTTTACAGGCAGTTGAGTTTACAGTCGTTTTTTTTAACACACCAAACTTGCGTTCAGGAGAAGATTTTTCTCAGCGTTTCAAATGCCAAATGCTTGTAAACGTGTGTAAACGCGACTAACCGCGTTTAGAAGCGTTTTCTGATTTTTTTAACTCTTCCATTTCCAGATGCTGTTCAGAGCCTTTTTTCATCATGAAAAATGCATGCAAAGCATTTTCCCGGTACACAAACGGACCCGGTACATCATACTTTGAGGTTTCGCATGAAAGAAAATCTGTTAGACATTGCTGCAATAATTTCTGCACAGAAATGAGCTGGAACATATCAAAACACCAAAAAAAAGACAGCTGATCTCAACAAATACTGCCCTGAAATAGTTAATTTTTTACTGTTTTTTTTAGTGCATTCTGGGCATTTTGGAAGGTCTCCTGAGCTTATCTTTAAAAATACTTCTAAACGCAAACGTTCATAAACGCTCATAAACGCTCATAAACGCGCATAAAACGCGATATGCAAATGCAGCTAAACAGATCTTTTTTAACCTGCATTTTCCAGAAGTCAGATTCCATCATTCAGATATGTCCAGTGGAGCCTTACTCAGTCCCGGTGGGATTAATTTTATGTATTCTGCTGTAAACCTGGTTGATCCTGCTGTGCTCTCTCCCTCTCCTGTCCATGTCCCCAATTTAGCTAAGGATTATGTAGAGCAATGCTGACAGGTCTGCACATGCTCAGTTTTCAGTGAGTTTTTATGCTGAGCATTTCCTCCCTATCACATCTAAGCAGCCTATGTGATTATAGAGTCACACATGCGGGTGTATACACAGTAGTAAATGACAGCCCACTCCCTTCCTCCTCCTCCATGCGCACTAACCAGCTAATCACAATGGGAGTGGGATATTACATGTACATTGATGGAGGCTTCACCTCTCTCTTATTCTAAGACAAAGGATGGAGGGGCGTGAAACAGCTGGAGACTGGTAGAAATCCGCCTGCACCATGTTATTTCCAAAAAATAATAAAGATTTTATTTCAAATATGTATTTGTATGACAATTTAAAACAGTTTATTGATGTTAAAGTTTGCTAAATCCACAACAGTAAAACAAGTCTGTATATGCAGTAAAGCATGCATGTTATACTCACTGTGGAACCTAAGGGGTTAATCTTCCACATTGTGTTAAAAAGGCTGTTTGATCCTGCCTTCTCTGATCCTCCCCTCCTTCTACTGTCCCCAATCCATCTGCTGATAGTACAGAGCTCTAGGAGTCACTCTGCACATGCTCAGTTTAGTGCTTATTGCAAGAGAGTTTTTATCTTCTTTGGGAGGGTTCATGTGATCAGCACAGGGCCAATCAGCACTGTCCAGAAAGAGGGTCACATAGGTCAGTCAGAGGAGAATGAAAAAACCTCCTAAAAGCTTTAACCAGTGTTCAGCTGGACACTG